TGAAAATATGTATCTGGACAATATTGATTCGTAGGCGGGCACGAGACGTTAGGGAGATTAACGCACGGCGCGTTGTTAAAAATAGAAACGCGAAAAGTCGCGTTTAATGCCCAATTAACAATCGTACTCGTCCATTACGGACCAGAAACCAACAGATGCATCCGACACGCGAAATGTAATTTGCGCTTCTAAGCTATTCCCAGCAAGCCGGCAAACGAATAAATACGTACCTATATAATAGAGGAAAGTCCCCTATTACGAATAGGCTCCTAATACGAGATAGCGGGGGTTTCTGTTAAATTAATAGGCCTCACCTATTGATTCCGCCATAAATTTGTTGCCCTCGGAGCGAAATCCGTTTGGTAGAAAATTCATTGTTAGATCGTGTAATCGTTGCGAAAAAAAAGACTTTTGACTGAATTTAGATGTCGAAAACCTGCTATCTCATGTTAAAAACCTGTCTCTCATAATAGAGGACCTTGAAGATCCACTTTCCCGAGGGGGAAACCGCTGACCAAAATCTTGTACACCAATGCCCACTAATGCCCAGTGGGCATTACTTTATCTTATTATCTTCTTTTATCTTATTTTATCTTTAGAATCAGCAAGACGTAATGCCCCAAAAATGCCCTAGTAATGCCCAGTAATGCCGCAAATCCGTACACCACAATGCCCTCAGCGGTTTCCCCCTCGCACTTTCCTCTACACATTTTACTGGTAAAATGTATGCTAAAATTTCAGAAGACTCTCATATTACGTTAAAGGGAGCAAAACTTACTGTAACGAAGCAATTTTATACAATTCAATCAAGAAAAATATATGAAATATCCTATTATGAACAGGCTCCTAATATGAGATAGCGTGGGTTCCGTTTAATTAATAGGAATCGTCTGTCGGTTCCACCATTTACTGCCCTTGGGGTGAAGTCCGTTTAGTGAAAAATTGATTGCTAGATCGCGTAATCGTTGCGAAAACAGATTTGTGATTGAATTTGAACGTTGAAAACTATCTCGTATTAGAATCCTGTCTCATAATAGAGGACTTTCCTCTATATACAGTCTGGCGCGCGCGCACCACGGAATAAATAATTTTACCGACGAGGGCAAATTTATCGCGCGATCAGTAACGCGAGAATCGTTCTGATTACGTAACGACGCTCCGTTTAACGGGCTTGATATTGTGCTTGTCGCGTCGCGATTAAACGGATAAGCACATATCTGGTGTGATTTCGTGCGTTACGTACAACTTTGGTGTCAAAGTTATACATTCCAGCGCGCGGGGGAAGTTTGGGAAATAGTTTCCTCCCCTTAACCGTCGCCGTAACTACGGGACTTATTGTCGCGCGAGGAACAACGCCGTCGGATAACGTGGCAAAACGCTTTCGACGAGTGATGAATTATATAATTCGGATGCGCCGAGTGCCCACCCCCGCCGCGCACCTCGCCGCCGCGATTAGAAACGTGTAAATAATGCAACGTCACGTGAAGCGATACGATGCACGTGAGAAACGACATTATTACTTGATCGGGTATGTCGCGTACATCGATCATTTATTTACGCTTCACCCCGATCGCAATAATCCGTTTGATGACGACGGCATCGACGTTTAACTTTGGTCACCGTGGCGTACGCTGTTTTACATTTTTTACGCCACGCATAATATTGCGCGCAGCAACGTCTCTCAACGTTTCTCGCGTTAACATTACGACGGGATGACGAGACCACAGACTCTCTACACGGAGAGAGAATTTTGCTCTTAAACTTTACCCGGAAAATCACGCAACCGTGGCATTTTGAAGACCTTTACAAGAATTTTTTTGCAATTTTACCAAAAATTCTACTAATCAAGTGTATGGTAAGATTTCAAGAAAATCTCGTACAAGTCTTTCAAGTGTCACGTTGTCCCACGATTACATGATTTTAAGAGAAAATTTTCTTCGTGTATATTCCACTAGGCTGCTACCTACGAGCTGAAAAGTGAGGCGAGAGTTCCGCCATGTCTTGTCAGGTAAATAAAGTAGTGTGTGTATGTGTGCATCGGTGAGTCAGTGACACACTATATTTACCTAACGAGACATGAATCGCCTCACTTTTCAGCTCAAAGGTAGCGGTCTAATAGTACATAGAAGTCTGTGAATGAGACGAATGACTGAAATGTGAAACACATATGATTTTACGAATATCTTCAACATGCATCGCTGAACGTGAGACGGCGTTTGCTACGTTATCCTTAATCGCGACGATAGAAAAATTCTTCCAGCGCGAATTCTGCAGGGGATGAGACCAAAGGCGCCGTTCAACGTGGCGCGAGAATGTTAATAAATAAACGTAATTAATTCAGAATGCGTCTATAGACACCAAAGTGTGTACAAGCTTGGCACCGTCTTTCCTCGTCTCGACGAGCATTTTTGCCGAGCCTTAATACGCAGGCATGTCCTGCCTTTCGTGAAATCACGATCTGTTCCTTCAGTTTATCGCACTGATTGATACAATTGTCACTTGAAAAGGGCCGCAAACCATCGAGACGTTGCGAGTTTAAACGTAAAAATTTGCCAGAACACGGTCAAGTAATCATTGAAGTTTCTTAATACGCAGATTGCCAAATGTCTATAGACACCAAAGTGTGTACAAGCTTGGCACCGTCTTTCTCTTCGTTCCGACGAGCATTTTTATCGAGCCTTAATACGCAGGCATGTTCTACCTTTCGTGAAATCAAGATCTGTTCCTTCGGTTTATCACACCGAACGTTTGATACAATTATCACCTGAAAAGGACCACAGACCACGGTCGAAACGTTGCGAGTTTAAACATAAAAATTTGCCAGACATGGTCAAGTAATCATTGAAGTTTCTTAATACGCAAATTGCCAAATGTCCGCGTGCGAAGCCTAGTCCAGCATGCGCTCTTCGCATCCAGAAACGTTCTAGTTTACGTAAGCAAATCCGAGACGCTTAAGGAAAAATTGTCGACCAAGTGCGACTGTACAGCAGTTTATCAACTCGCACGAACTTTTTAAACGTATTCATCGACGGCGAAACAAGGTTCCCAGATGCAAAGAGCACGCCGTAGATCGGGCTCGAATGGGACTCGGTCTCTAGGATTCGAGGGACTCGCGGCGATCGGAGCGATTGAGGGACACGGCGCGAGCGAGCGCGATACAACGGTGATGAGCGTATGTAAACAAGAAGTCGAGCCGGAGCGCGCGCGGCATGCTTGGAGTTATTTATAGAAACCGATTATTGTGCAACAAACGCGGCTTTACGTAACGCGTACGGCGGCACCGCGTGTGTCCCGGGCTCTGTCGGTCACTCGGCTGTACACAAAAGGACACACTTTCCTCGCGCCTTCCTGCTTCTTTGTTCCACGATCGTTGTACTCGTGAGACCGAAAAAAAACGCGCGCGCGCGCGCACCGTCGAAAGACGCAAAAAGTGACTCGACGTGCCCCCCCCCCCCCCTTTGAATCCGACGAGGCCGAGATGCCGGGAGGAAGAGAGGGGGAACTTGATCGAAACGGCAGTCGCTTTACGATTTTGCGAAAAAATTTTTTTTACGCTCGCAGAGTAGCGATTCCGCGCGAGATCCCTTTATCCACCGCCGGATATCGCAAACTGCGAGATTTATATAACTGTTGTCAATGGGTTGCAGCGGCATCAATAAAGATACCGCTAAAGCGATATATTTGAGAAGATTGCATAAAGACGGAATTGATCTTAATACGAGTGTCGTGCAATTGCAGGCTACGCGTTAGTTACAGAAGCATCCATGCCTTAAACGTGCAACGCAGTTGCCGGACACAATCGACGCGACCCGACGTTTACAGCAGGACCTCGTAATCCAGACGACGCCGGGCAAAAAAATATTAAACGCGACGACAAAATACGGGTGCGGGGGAAAAAAAAGGATACAAAGTTCCGATCCCCCAGGCAGCGTTTACGGGAAACGCGTAATCCCGCCCGATCCCGGCGGACGTGTGAACGAGAGGTATTCCTACGAAATTGCTACGCGTTTTGCATTACGTAAGAGTGAAATGCGGATGCGCGCGCGGTAACGGAAGAAATGCCAGACGTCGCGAAAACGAGGAGAGGCATCCGCCGCGAGCGAGCGAGCGGGCGAACGAACGATGGACGGAACGAACGAACGAACGAACGAGCGGGAGCGCGCGCGCGCCATGCTTGTTGGGCGTGAACGCATGGAGAGCGCGGAGATTCGCGAGATTGCCGTGCCGGCGGCCCGGTCCGACGCGGTGCGACGCGGCGCTACGCGTCCCTGCGTTTCCAGCGGAAAGCGGCTTTCGGGGAGTCGCGACGGCGGCGGCGGCAGCGCGGCGGCGCGGCAGCGGCGGCGGTGGCGGCGGCGGACGACGACGCAGCGTCGCGATGACATACACATCGGGCAGCAGCAGCGGCGGCGGCGGCAGCAGCCAGCCACCAGCGGCGGATATCGGGCGACGGGCGCCGGCCGGCCGGCCGGCCGGCTTCAACAGCTGTGTGGCCGCGCTCTCTCTTTCTCTCGCGCCGCGCGGCGCCGCGCGGCTCGATACGCACGCACCTCCGGCCGCCGAGCCCCGACAATGCCGATACACTCGCGCCGCGTCCGATGCCACGGCGGCAGCTACGTTACGCTCTCGCAAACAGGTTGAGGCGATAAGCGGGATCGCGGGCACGACACTCGAGAGAGAGAGAGAGAGCCAATAAAGATCGCGAGTCTCTCCTGCTCGCGTTTCCGTCTCTTTCTAGCTGTCTGTCTCTGTCTTTCTCTCACCCTCTCCCTCTCCCTCTCTCTCTCTCTCTCTCGTTCGCTCCGCTGCGAAGCGTACCATACTTAACCTCGTCGTGTCAAACGCGAGCAAATATATACATATAAAAATGTAGATGTGGGTGTATCCGTATACTAGCGCACATACACGGATTTATGATGGCACTCGCGCCTACCACTACCTACAACGCGCGTCCTTTTCTCTCTCTCTCTCTCACCTCGGTAAAGAAAATGAAAACTCACCCGCACAGCTCAGTTTCCTGCTGGTCCGTCGACTCGACGATTTCCTCGAGCAAAATCCGATCGTCAGCCACCAAGTGCACTGACATATCTCGTCAGTCCGCGGCACACCGAGAGTCCCCGCGCCGAGCGAATTTCACGTTCCCCGACGGCCGTCGTCGCGGCTGCGAAAAGGCGATCACGGCTCCCCCGTCGATATCTTGTCGTTATCGCTCGCACTCTTTTCTCGCGCACTTATTTCCCGCTTTCTTTCTCGCCCCGCTGTCCGTCAGTCCGTCCTTCCGTCCGTCCGTCCGTTCGTTCGTCGGTCTCGTTCGCCCGCTCGCTCCTTCACTCGTCGCCCGACCGCGCACTCCACTCCGGGACGGGGGGGAGGGGGGGGGGGCAAACAACGCGCGTTTTATCAAACGCGTCTCCGCTCGCGGCACGGCGTACACGTATACGCGGTACTCGCCACTTCCGGCTCGCGCCGTGTCTCGCGACGACCCCGTTTTCCTCTCCTCAGGCCAAACGCCGGCGACACGCACGGGAGATTCGTCCACGGGACAGCCACACGCTCCGCGCGGCGCGCACACACAACGCCCGAACGCGTTTTGTAATGGCGATCTTTGGCGGGAAACAGCTGAGGGCCCCCACGGCGCGCCGTGGATCACTCCGCCGCCCGGCGTCAGGAACGTCGCTAGGCGGCTCGGCCGCGGGCGCGGGCGCGGGCTCCTTTCTCCACCGCGGGCGGTGCTGCTGCTGCTGCTGCTCCTGCTACTGCACGGCGTCGGCACTTTTCCCTCACTCGCGCGGACCGCTTACTCGTCCCCCGATCAACGAGGTGCTCGGGGCCGCCTTGGCGTCCTCGATCGATGTCACACGTCGGAAATATCCAGTCCCCCTCGCACTCGCTCGCGCGAGGATCCTCCGGCACCGGCCGGATCGTGACGCGCGCGCGGGGATGCGGTGCGACGACACGTCTATCGTACGCCGCGCGCCGGTAGAATCGTCGCGCGCGTCCGCAACATCGACGACGGTCCGCGTGAGCGCGCGCGCGCGCGCGCGCCCGCGCGACGGGTCCGCGGCGACGTACGTTGAACCGCTCGCGCACACTCGCGCACCGCGCACACACTCACTCACGTACACAGGCGCACACGCGCGCGTCACGGCGTACGCCGTCTCTGCCGAAGCGCGCGCGCGCGCGCTCGCGCGGTAGGAATCTCACCTCGAGAGAGGACAAGCCCGCTCCGAAAAGTCGCTCGGCGTCCTCGCCGGTCGCGCGGCTCCGCCGTACACAAATCGCGCGGTCGGCTCGCGCGCGCTCGACGGGGGGGTAGCCGCGCGCTTCGCTCTGCCCTGAGCGGCGACTCACTTCAGACCAATCCCCCGTCAGCTCATCCTCGCGATCCGGCTCGCGGATCCGGCGCTAACTCCCGGTGGATCGCGGCTGCCCCCGTGCCGTCGCGGCTCGCTCGCTGACGCGCCCCGTGGATCCGCGCGGACGTTCGCGCACGTAGGTGGCCGCGGACGGCGGGCCCGGTCGCGGCAAATGTACGGCGCCACGGCGCGGGACTACTTGCGCGTCGCGTAGGTTTACGCTAGAGGAATGACGCGGCCGCGCGGGAAACATCTGCCAGCTGGCCAAAGCCCCGCCCATAGAATACGCGAGTCTACTCGATCCCCCACCACCGACCGCCGCCGCCGCCGCCGTCGCCGCTGGCCCCCCCCCTCCCTCCCTCTCCCAACACGCGGTCGCGAGCATAGTCTAT